ACATAGAAGAGAGTGGGTGTTAAACCTCACTGTACTGGGAAATTCAAAGTAAAACCATGGTGGGCTGCCGTACACACTCACCAGCACAGCTACCAAGAGCATGACTGGCAATACCAGGTGTTGGTGAGAGTATAGTGTGTGGGAATGTGAATTAATGCACCCACTTTGGAAAATAGTTCAGCATTGTCTACTGATGTGAAGGATGAGCATGATCCATAGTCCAGCAACTCCATGTGCATCAGGAGATATGTGCAAGAGTGGTCATAGCAGCATTGTTGCAATGACCGTAAGCTGGAATTGGCTCAGATGCTATTCAACAGTAGAATGGATAAGTGGATTTATATTCATGCAATGGAAAGTTGTATATCAATGAAGATAAATTAATTTCATCTGCATGTAACAATATGGATAAATCTCAATTGTGATATTGAGCAAGAGAAGCTGAACACAAAAGAACACATACTGTGAGATTCCATGGGTGTGAAATTCAAAAACTGCAGGAAGAAAACAAACTTGGAGATGCATATTTGGTAATCGATGATCAAAAAGAACAGGGAAGTGATTACCTTAAATGTCAGGGTGGAGGCTACCTTTGGTGGGGAATGAAGAATTTGTGAGAAGGGGGAACTGGGTGGTTTCTGGAGTGCTAGCAGTATTGTGTTTCTTTTTCAATATAGGCAACACTCATATGTGCGTTGGCTTTGTGATAATTCTCTCAGATGCATATTTTTGTTTTGTAAACTCTTTCTGTATGTGTGTCATATTTCACCACAAAAAGGCTTAGAAAAAGAAAATGTGTGTAAATGTTTAGCACAGCTTAAGTTCTCATTAAATAAAGTAGTTGTTGGTTTTCTTAATATTAGTTTGGAGATGCTTCATTGTAACTGCAAAACTAGATGAAATACTTCAAACTGACAACTCTTTTTCTAGTAGTAAAAGCTAAGACAAAGACAAAAAGTGTCTAGCCCACGAGTGCGTCAGGAGATGCCGCTGGATAGGGACTTTTTCACTGCATGTTAACCAAGCCAGCAGGCTGCTGGCAACTGCAGGACACAGTGCCTTGTAAGGCCATGTCCAGCAGAACTCAGAATTACCTAGGCTGTGTAAGCAAGATTTTCTGAAAGTAGAGACAGCTATGGACATTTTATGAATCTTTCCTGGTGATTCTAACCTGCAGCCAGAGTTGAGAAGTCTGTACCAGTGCTGAGGTAGAGGATGGCAGCTGTTGTCAGAGGAACATCTATGCTCCCAAGGAGAATAGATACCTAGAGGTGGAGCAGAAGAGTCTTCAGCAGACCCCACACTCTCAAGGAATTCATGTAGCAGGCTGAGAAGAGTAGTGGTGGTGGTACCTCCTCTGAGTAGCAAGTTGGGAGAGGTTTGTTTCTTAAGGCAGCAGAGCTTCTGTGTTCATAGTAGTTATCTTATGTCCCATTCAGTGCTCAATATTGGAATTACTTTTTCAGAGAAGGGCATTGGCGTCCCTTTGGTCCAACATCATCCTGGATAATAGCCCATATACTGACTGCACAGACACCAGTTGTTGAAAATATGGTTTTCAGACCTCCTAAGAAATTCTGACTTTTTAATTACTTAAAAAGTTATAAGCTTTTTCAGCGCTATAACAATAACCAAAAATGTCAACTTATACATTTATGAGTCTCTCCCAAGACACATGTGCCTCTAGAGACAAAAGATATGAAATGAAGATAAGAGAAACTGAGCTTACCTGAAGGATGTGGCTCAGAAAAAATCCAGAGGACACCAGGACAAAATAGTCATGTCTCTCTGCCCCTGCCATGAGTACAGCCTTTGTGTATAGCATTTCAGTTCAAGTCTGATAGAAACACTTGGAGTTACCATCAGACTCCACAAGGTAAAGGTCACAGTTCCAAACAGGATTGTCCCCACTTAAGATGCCAGCCACAAATTCAGGAATCTCCATGCCATATGTACTTCTGACTGAATGACTACAAGTTCAGGAGGCTCCCATGCTCACCTCCCCACCTTTGTTTCATTAATTCACTAGATCAGTTCACAGGACTCAAGAAATCACTGTATTTAAAAATACAGTTTTATTATAAAAGATTCAAATCAGGGTGAAACATGAAAAGATACATAGGGCAAGGTCTGGAAGAGTCATAACACAGAGCTTCCATGACCTCCAAGGAAGCAGGGAGAAAGGCCAGGCAAATTCTTTATTATACAATAAGCTTCATACTTTGGGACACAATGTTGTAGAAGAGGTAAAACAGGATAGTCATATTATGAAGACTGAGCTTTTGTCTAAAGCAAAAGTCCCATATGTAATGGTACTTTTTTTTTTAAGATTTATGTATTTACTTGTGATAGAGATAGAGCACGTGAGAGCATGGAGGGGAGGGACAGAGGAACAGGGAGAGAGAGCATCTCAAGCAGACTTCCCACTGAGAGCAGAGCCCAACTCGGGGCTTGATGTCTAGCTCCTGAGATCATGACCTGCACTGAAATCAGGAGTCAGTCACCTGACCAACAGAATCACCCAGGCACCCTGGAATGGGACTTCAAATAAACCAAATGATCAAATACAAAATGTTCTTTTTATTTAATTAATTTATTTTTTTAAGAGTTTAGTTATTTGACAAACAGAGATCACAAGTAGGCAGAGAGGCAGGCAGAGAGTGAGAGGGAAGCAGGTTCCCCGCTGAGCAGAAAGCCAAATGCGGGGCATCATCCCAGGACCCTGAGATCACAAACTGAGCCAAAGGCAGAGGTTTTAACCCACTGAGCAACCCAGGTGCCCCCAAAATGTTCTTTTTAAAGAACTGGCAAGTCTTTAATGTCTTAAAGTAGTAAGACTGCTAACTGGCAAGTCTAAAATGTCCTGCCACCCTACAGATTGTAGGCTCATGAGGAAGATCAATTTAAAGGTTATGGAACTGACTAGCACCAATAAAACTTTCCAGTTTATATAAATCACACTAATAAGGTAGCAATTTACAGTAAGGAATGTTTTGAATAGGTGATTGAGAATCATTGTGCCAGATTTTTGGCACCCTTTCAACCTGCAGCAAAGCCAACGAGACATATTAAATAAGAGAACTGTGCTCAGTGATTGTGGAATGGGAACAGAGGCAACCTCCCCGCTCCCGTACTCTCACCTTTGACCCTTATCCCTACAATCCAGATATAGCACATCACCCTTCTGTTTTCATGGTAGAATGCTTTCCTTAGACATGCTTATATTTATCTGTTTATATGTAACCTTTATTTAAATGATATATTTTCTCAAGGACATATCAAAGTCATCTTAATTGACATTTGTCAACCAAAATTTAACAGGTTTCCCTCAGTTCATATTTACTATCAAACCTGAGGGTTAATCTCATAGTCTTATCCACTTTAAAATTAGTTATGACCAGTCACTTCCAGAGAATCAATTTCTGACCTTAACCCAGATTTTGGTGTGTACACTTTTGTACACTATGAGAGAACTTAGTCTGTGAGTATAATTCAAAGTTACTGTTCAAGTCAGCCAGTGTTTACTTTTTCAGGCATGTGTGACTAATCATAGGCATTTATTATGTGCTTAGTTGCCTAGATGGTATGTCCTAAGCTAGAGCCTTTAAAAACATTGCTGTCTTGATATTTGGTTGTTCAGTTGAAGCCTTTACATATCTTTCATCAGTGGGACATGAATAAAGAATGGAGTTACTTCAGAATGAGTCTGGCACAGTCCCAGGACTATGGAGAAGTTAGAGGCAGGAAGGAGAGTTCAAGAATGTTATTTCTGCCTGGGGTGGATCTCCAATGTGTATGTTTTTTATTTTCCAAAATTAAATGAAAAAGCAGCTGTTCTAAGGACTCAATCCTGTGGCAGGACATCACAGTAAGCTTTAGTTATTCATCACCCAGCATCTGCTTTATATGCTGATGTTTCAGAAGCACTCATGATGGTTCATCCTTGAATCTAAAAGACCAGAGTTGGACACACAGATGGCATCCCAGTGGTGTACACTCAACACCCACACCACATGAAGTTTTGTCAAGATTCTGTCACAAAGCCAATGTGTCTTCTTTGAGAGCAGCCATTAGAAGAAATTGTTTTTGTCAGCTTCCCAATGGAGCAGGCCAACCTCTGCATGGGCGTCCATTTGTTTTCTCTTGGGAGTGGTCCCGGATGTTTCACGTGTCCACTGTGAGGCATGTGACAGACATGCCTCAGAGAACAGCACTGTGCTGTGAGCCAGGTAGTAACATCAGAGACTCTGCCAGAAATTAGTGTGGGCCTCAGTGAACTCTGAATCAATACCTATGCATAGAAGCCCCTGCACTGGCAGCTGCAAACCTCCCAAGAGCCACAAATTCAGCATGTCCCAAACAAGAACCATGATACACTTCCACAAACTCCTTCTCTATGTGCTTCCTGTCCTAGTCACTGATACCACCATCCATCAAGAAACATGGAAATCTCTCTGGGGTCTCTTCCCTTACCCCTGAGGATTCCATCAAGTTCTGCCATTTGCTCTCCAAATCTTCTCAAATATATCCATTTGTCTCTATCCCTAATGTCATAGTTCAAGTGGGACCCAATCTCCCACCTGAAGAAATCTGACACTTTCCTAACTGGTCAGCCTCATCTGCTGCTCCTCCACCTGCTCTCCACCCTAGTCCAGGGTGATTTTTTAAAACACAAATACATCACTGCCCTGATGAAAGCCTTCCACAGTCTCCCACTAGTTTCAGGACATCAATATCCAAGCTTGATGTGGTCTGCGCCTGTAATTGCAGCTTCTTCTTGGGCCACACAACCCCCAAGTCTTGACAAAAAAGTCCTGCTAGCTATGTTCTCATCTACCCTCCTTCCCACTAGACATTTCTACCTGCTATTCCTTCTGCCTGCAATGGGAACTTCTCAATACCAGCCCCATTTGTTTTATTATGGTAAAATAGAAACTACTAATATGTACCATTTTAAGTATACAGTTGTGTGGCATTAAATACACTCATGTTGTCATGCAAAAAATGCAAAACATGTCACTAGTTTGCATGTCACTCTTGTACAGGGACTATGCTAATCTTCTCTGTATTGTTCCATTTTTAGTCTGTGCCACTGAAGTGAGTACGCATCCTCTTTTCACTATAAAGTCTGACTCATCCTGCAGATCTTAGCTTCAAGTCACTTATTCAGGGAAGCCTTCCAAAACCAGGCCCATCTCCTGTCAGACAACCCCTTGACTGCACAGTACCCAGCATGAGCGACACGAGCTCTGTGAGGGCAGCACTCGAGGCCAGAGGCGGTAGGCACACAGTAGCTCAGTGCATCCTAGTTAAATGAATAAGTGAATGAATGAATGAGTGAATGAATGAAGAAATGCAATTCTACCCATAGTAAAGACCACCTTGGCACTTTTGTAGAAAGCCATGTCTTGACATGGCTTACATTGTTTTGACTTCCATTCCAGTGTTAAGATCTTGGCTTCATCTTTGGAAAACTAAAACCAATAGTGGGAGAGGTTTTTTTTACCTTTTCTCAAACAGAAAAATTGCTATTCAGACTTCACCTTTCATAAAAGAAGAAAACATGTAGTAATTTTTAAATCATGTGTTTTAATTTAATTCTGTTTATCAGGGTTTCAAAACTACTGAATCTAGACTCAGGGCTCTGCAGCAGTTTGTAATTTCTAAAAACTAATGTAAAGTAGAGCTTATTTTGCACAAGCCTACAAGAAAGTAAGCCTGATCCTGCCCCACAACATTTGCATAGAAGTCTCTATCATCCATCAGGGCTACTAGTGGGGTCTAGAGGTGGCTTTCCTCAGAACATGGGGCTGTCTGCACCCACCATGGAAAGCTTGTCATGCTCACCCCCAAGAAACCTTGCTATGGACCAGAAATAGCAGATCTAGGCTTTCATGGAACCAAGGACTCCAACCCTGAGTTACAGCTAGAACAGCTGACACTCACATTACCCTTCACACTTTATGTGTTATTCATAACACCAGGAGCTAGGGATCAACATCATCATCAACACAGTACCCTAATTTTACAGATGAGGGGAAAACATTCAGAGGTCAAGAAGCTGGTCCAAGATTTCTCAGCTGCAGCTGGACCAGATTTGTCATCTAGTTTTGATGCCAAAACCCTTGCTTACTCTTTTCATTTCATTTTGCTCCATATGACATTAACTGCTGCATTTTTAGAGGCAACTTCTATTATAATGGTGCCCTTGAAGTGGTATAAATAATGATTCTCTGGCCACTCTGCACATGGTCAAAGCCATAGAAAGTAGGAAGAAATGTAGCCTATGATTATAAGGTCCTTTTTTTCCCCCCCAAGATTTATCCATCCACTTCAGAAAGAGAGAGAGAAAGAGAGCATGAGGGAAAAGGGGCTGCAAACTTCGAACAAACTTCCACTGAGCTGGGAGTCCAACTCAGGATTCAATCCCACAACCCATGAGATCACAACCTGAGCAGAAAGCCAGAGTTGAACACAACTGACTGAGACCCATATGTTCCTATAAGGCCCTTGAATATGACTGAACACTTGGGCACTGGTAGCACTCTATGGTTATTCAGTGTGTTGACTCACGGGCTGATGAAAAGTCTGAGAGGAGGTATCACATGATGATCAAGACAGTCTGGTAACACACAAAACCCTAAAATACCCTGGGCCTATGAGCTGTCCCCCAGGCTCTGCCTCTGCTGTAGAGAATGTCCTAGACACAGGCTAGAAGCCGATTACTGCCTGGATATCTGGAGTTACAAAGTAATTTCACTTTATCTTGGGGGGAAAAAGCTAAAATGCTCTCTGCCTCTAAGCACAGCATCTGGTAGGCAGGTCCCCCAGGTTTCCTCTAATCCTGTCTGTCTCCACCCTCTTCATGGAGAACGTAGTGAAGAGCACACTAATCTCTTGGATCAAAGCAAGAACAAAATGCATAACACTCCCACTGTAAGATCAGAGCGTGCTTAGATAACCGCATGGGCTCTTGGCTGAAGAGGTGATGAGAGAGAGGCGCCTGTCCTGAGGTTACAGACTGAAACCTTCTGACACCTGTTCCCTTGCTACCACCATCCCTGTCCAGCCTTGGCTGCATGGAGCCAAAGGTTCCAGTGACCAAAAATGTCCCTAAGACTGGCATCTCCTATCTCCCCAGTAAGTTTTCCTTTTTTTGTATTTACAAATCCGCCTTTCATCACCTCTGCCGAGTGTTCTCAGCACCATACTCCCTGTGACCCTCATCTCCTTTTCTCTTGGCCACAGCTCATTTATTTCATTGATTGACTGTCAAAACTCCTACTGGAGCAGAATATAGGTGATTTAGTTTTATTAACACAGCAATGTGTACTCACATTCCCCAAAGTTTATTATTTACCTTCATCTTATGTTTTCCAAACCCTCTTTAACAAAGAAATCTCTCCAGGGTTCCTTCATCTTACTTCAGTGATATCACCTGCCACTTAATTCTAAAAGTACTTCAAACTGTTGGGGTGGTAGGGGCTAGGCGGAGCTGTTTTATATTATTTTCATGATTTTTTAAATTACTGTCATTATCATTATTATTATTAAGCATTAATTCCCACTGTGATGCTTACTTATAAAATTCTCTCCTGACTTAAAAAAAATTCTGCTTTTGTATTTCTTGAAATTAATGGTTTTATGGTTGAATCTTAACTTTGTTGGCTTAAGAATAATTTCCACTGAACTGTGTATTCCATACCTGCTCATTTCCCCATTAAGGTGTGTGTTTTCATACAAGGACACACTGTGTGTGTGAAAGGCATCAAGAACATGATTGTGGTTAAGATGCACAACACCCTGCTTGTTCAGGTATTTATTCCTGTTCTTTAACTTTTCCTTGCTTTCCAGGGAAAACTGATGCTCTGAGAAAACCACAGGTAGTTGTAGGGAAATACTAATGATCTTTTTTTTTTTTTTTTTAAGGCATGGGTGATTTTTTTTTTTTTAAGATTTATTTACTTATTTATTTGACAGAGAGAGATCACAAGTAGGCAGAGAGGCAGGCAGAGAGAGAAGGGGAAGCAGGCTTCCTGCTGAGCAGAAAGCCCAATGCGGGGCTCGATCCCAGAACCCTGAGATCATGACCTGAGCCGAAGGCAGAGGCTTTAACCCTCTGAGCAACCCAGAATCCCCTACTAATGATCTTTTCAGGGGAAACTCTTACATATCCATTATCAAGTGCTTATTTGGTTCTAGCACTTATAGTTTAAATCACTTAAAATTATGCATTATCATGAATTTTGAAGGGCCCATTTAACAAACCTGTTGAAATTATGGACTGAATGGAAAAGCTGCAGAAAAGACATTGAAGACTGGCACACTGAGCTGGAAACATCTGTGCTACTTTTTTTCTACTGATACTGAAAGGGCTAATCCAAAGAAGTCCTGAGGCTGCAAAGTATGGCATTTTGTTGAGAATTAGATTTCTCAGTTTACTGAAAGCAAAACAGATTGCTACACACTTCTATGTGTGATCACTCAGCATATGTAGGAGGATTTGTGTCTTGTAACAAAACAACAAGCTGTAAATAGTTCTGAAAGCTGAGAGTTGGGGGCCCATAAGCACAGGAAGCTGGCTAGGGATGCAGCTATGGTAATGGGAACAGTGTCCTAGCCAGATGTGTATCACTGGGTAAGTACCAACCTGACTTCTTGGTGCTTCAAAATAAATTGCTAAGCAAATGTTGAAAAACAAAAATAAAACTGGGGGCATCACGTTGTCTGATTTCAAGCTTTACTACAAAGGTGTGATCACCAAGACAGCATGGTACTGGCATAAAAACAGACACATAGACCAGTGGAACAGAGTAGAGAGCCTAGATATGGACCCTCAACTTTATGGTCACCTCATCTTCGACAAAGCAGGAAAAAATATACAGTGGAAAAAAGACAGTCTCTTCAAGAAATGGTGTTGGGAAAATTGGACAGCTATGTGTAGAAGAATGAAACTCGACCATTCTCTTACACCATACACAAAGATAAACTCAAAATGGATAAAAGACCTCAATGTGATGCAGGAATCCATCAGAATCCTAGAGGAGAACATAGGCTGTAACCTCTTTGACATCGGCCACAGCAACTTCTTTTAAGACATGCCTCCAAAGGCAAAGGAAACAAAAGCAAAAATGAACTTTTGGGACTTCATCTAGATCAAAAGCTTTTGCACAACAAAGGAAACAGTTAAAAAAAAAAAACAACAAAACAGGAGGCAACCCACAGAATGGGAGAAGATATTTGCAAATGACAATACAAAGGGTTGCTATCCAGGATCTATAAAGAACTCCTCAAACTCAACACAGTGCAACAGAGTTCCCCTTTCTCTACATCTTTGCCAACACCTATTTGTTCCTCATTTTGTTAATTTTAGCCATTCTGACAGCTATGAGGTTGAATCTCATCATGGCTTTGATTTGTATTTCCTTGATGATGAGTGATGGTGAGAATATTTTCATGTGTCTGTTAGTCATCTGAATGTCTTCCTTGGAAAAGTGTCTATTCAGAGACAACTAGAAATTTAATTACATGGCATTACTTGTACATTTTACTATCAGATCTAGATATGTTCTAATTTAAATAATGCCTTATACACAGCACTCAACACTGGTTTTCCAGGTAAGGACATAAGATATAAAGATATAAAGCACATTTCAATCATTTATAGTTGTGAACTATACCACTCAAATATAACCAGTAACTCTGAAGACAGATATTATCTATTGTTTTATAACAAATTGTCCTAAAATTTATTGGGTAATAAACCAATAAACATTATTAAATAATGTTTATTTAATTGTTTTAATTACTTTATTGTTTATAATAAAATAATGAACATTAATATCTCTTGCAGATTAATGAAGTTGTCCTGGCTCCAGGTCTCTTACAAGGTTGTAGTCAAAATGCAGGTCAAGGCTACAGGGATCTGATGGCTTGATAGGCTGGAGTCACCATTTCTAGTCCACATTGTAGCAGTGAGGAATTAAACTCCACATATTAAAGGGAGGAGTGTCAAATAGGTTGCAGGCGTGTGTTAAAAGTATACGTGGTTATAGATAAATGTAAATTACTTTTAAATACTTATAGTTTATTTTAAGGTACA